AATGGCTGCAATATAACAAAGAGTGAAAAATTTAAGGGGGTCTGAATACTTTCTGTACCCACTGTATATATATATATATATACACACACACACATATATATATATACACACACACACAAACACACACACATACATACATATATATATATATATATATATATATATATATATATATATACACACACATATGTGTGTGTGTGTGTGTGTGTGTATACAAATAGAAATATATAGAACTAAAAACAAATATAAATAACTAAATGCACATAATAAATTTGACATTGTTAGAGCTGAGACATTAAAAGTTAATTATTTATGAAGTTCCTATTGGTGGTGCCAGCATGTGTGTAAAAATGACTGCCCTACCTCTCCTCTGTACACACTGCTATCACACACCTGGAGAGAGAAACAGGAAGAAAAGGGATTTTTGAACTTTGTCAGGAGTGAAGATCAGTTCACACGTAGGTTGTTGTTGTAGGAGCATGGAGTTGCAGTAAATGCATATATGGCATGTACATTTATAAATGGCTAGGTTCTTATCCCTGGGAGTCCAAATGATGTGGACTGGAGTACTGCTGCTGTTCTGTCTGGATTTATGGGTATCTGCAGATGAGTTGGGACGTCCAACGACTTTCTGGTGGGACAATGATATTCAAGTCCAAAAACACAGCGATCAACAGTCATGGGGGCATATTTTCAGAAAGTATTGTGATTCAGCACACATTAAGGTAAGATTGTTGTTGTAAAAATGCCCTTATGCAAAGAAAAAAGTCTTAAACCAGCATGTTTCATTTTTGTTAAAGCAGCTAAAACCACCTTAAATCAGCTAAGATCAGTAAAATAATGTTTGTTTCAGCGGTGATATCTTGTTCATTTCTTATTTTTTTAATTAAAAGTACAACTGAACTAGGTTACTCGGGTCTGATGCATCAACTACTACTATTCTATTTAAATTGTTCAAGTTAGAGCTTTCCAGTGAATCCTGAGCCAGTTCACAAAAACAATTGGTTTGAATCAATCCGAACAGTGACACAAATTCACTGATTCACCGAAATGACAGTCTCCTTCAAACGTAATAAACCTAATTAACAACTCGCCGACTTATCGTCTCTTTTGAATATCTAAATAAAATGTTAAAAATTTTGAATTTTTCAATAAAACCAATTATTATTATTTTTTTTCAATAAAACTATTAACAGAAATATATGTCACACAATGACGTAAGAGAACCACTGAATCATTTTTGAACAGAAAATACTCGGATTGCGAATCTAGATCAACTTGCTGACGGAACGTAACGTTCCGAAGTAAACCATTCGTGTATGCAATTTTAGGACCCCCAGGCCAAACAAGTTCAAACATGTTTTTCTTAAGGTATGTCAGATAAAAGATTTAGCTTGAACGCACTGGCACGCTGCCAGCATAAACCGCAGAATGTGAAGAAACCAACCCCCATTTTCTGTTGGAAAATGCAAAGCATTCAAGTTGTTGCAGTGGCCTGTCTTTTTATGTCAATTTTGTGAAGTAATATTGTACATTCAGGGTTAAAGTCCAGGTTCCCAGCTTGTAGGTGTTTTCAATGAGCCGTACAAACCATAGCCCCTATGCAGAAACTATATGAAACAACTCCATAATGATTCTTTAAAAGCTTTCAGTTTCTTCATTTCCTCTTTTTGTCATTTGGAATGTGCAAATGGTCATTAACTGTGGCAAAAGCATTGTGTTTTAGCCAAAAGTATACAATTTTAAGGTTTTCCAATATATCTGCACGTTTGTATCTCATATGATGATTTTGTCTGCATTTGCACCATTACAGGACTGTGATCGTGGTTATTACAGGGAGCGAAGTGGACCACATAAGGGACAGTGTGTGCCGTGCAACTGCAATGGCCTGTCCAATGACTGTGACCCACATACTGGAAAATGTTTGGTAAAATTTTTTAAAATGTAATCTTAAATAACTTTCTTTTGAGAAAGTTCACTGTAAAAAAAAAAAAAAAAAACTAAAATTTATAAATTGGCAGCTGTGGTTGCCAGAATTTTACCGTAAAAAATGTGGTAGCAACATTTTAGGTTTTACGGATTTAACTTAAATTTACTTTTAAATACCATAATTTTAGTATCTGATATTATGTTAATATACCAACCACTGAAATCTGTTTTGTACCTTTGTAATACACTGATAACCACCAAAAGCAGGTGGCGATGAGAAAGTCACAAGATGAATCAAAGCCCATCACAAGCAGCTTTTAAATAATAACATACAGTATGGGTGCACAGTGTCATTCACACAAACACCAAACACCATCATGGTAACACACATGAAACTGAAATAATGCAATAAACATTTATTTAACAACATTAGATGTAACATACAACCCAAATGTGCACAACTGATAAGAAAAAACTAAGAAGAAACAGTTATTTCAACAAAAAACATCAAATGTGAAATGTAACGCAGGGAATGTCAATTTACGGCTATTCACTGTAAATTATACGTTCTTTTTCACTTCCAAAAATGGTATACTACCGTAAAATTACATGTAATGTCCAATACAGTTTTTCACCGTATATAGTTCACCGTACATTTTTAATGGAACCTGAGAGCTGTCTGACCCTGCATAGACAGCAACACAACTGAAATGTTCCCAAATCCAGAAACGTAGCAAGGAGATCGACCACTGAATCATTTTTGAACAGAAAATACTCGGATTGCGAATCTAGATCAACTTGCTGACGGAACGTAACGTTCCGAAGTAAACCATTCGTGTATGCAATTTTAGGACCCCCAGGCCAAACAAGTTCAAACATGTTTTTCTTAAGGTATGTCAGATAAAAGATTTAGCTTGAACGCACTGGCACGCTGCCAGCATAAACCGCAGAATGTGAAGAAACCAACCCCCATTTTCTGTTGGAAAATGCAAAGCATTCAAGTTGTTGCAGTGGCCTGTCTTTTTATGTCAATTTTGTGAAGTAATATTGTACATTCAGGGTTAAAGTCCAGGTTCCCAGCTTGTAGGTGTTTTCAATGAGCCGTACAAACCATAGCCCCTATGCAGAAACTATATGAAACAACTCCATAATGATTCTTTAAAAGCTTTCAGTTTCTTCATTTCCTCTTTTTGTCATTTGGAATGTGCAAATGGTCATTAACTGTGGCAAAAGCATTGTGTTTTAGCCAAAAGTATACAATTTTAAGGTTTTCCAATATATCTGCACGTTTGTATCTCATATGATGATTTTGTCTGCATTTGCACCATTACAGGACTGTGATCGTGGTTATTACAGGGAGCGAAGTGGACCACATAAGGGACAGTGTGTGCCGTGCAACTGCAATGGCCTGTCCAATGACTGTGACCCACATACTGGAAAATGTTTGGTAAAATTTTTTAAAATGTAATCTTAAATAACTTTCTTTTGAGAAAGTTCACTGTAAAAAAAAAAAAAAAAAACTAAAATTTATAAATTGGCAGCTGTGGTTGCCAGAATTTTACCGTAAAAAATGTGGTAGCAACATTTTAGGTTTTACGGATTTAACTTAAATTTACTTTTAAATACCATAATTTTAGTATCTGATATTATGTTAATATACCAACCACTGAAATCTGTTTTGTACCTTTGTAATACACTGATAACCACCAAAAGCAGGTGGCGATGAGAAAGTCACAAGATGAATCAAAGCCCATCACAAGCAGCTTTTAAATAATAACATACAGTATGGGTGCACAGTGTCATTCACACAAACACCAAACACCATCATGGTAACACACATGAAACTGAAATAATGCAATAAACATTTATTTAACAACATTAGATGTAACATACAACCCAAATGTGCACAACTGATAAGAAAAAACTAAGAAGAAACAGTTATTTCAACAAAAAACATCAAATGTGAAATGTAACGCAGGGAATGTCAATTTACGGCTATTCACTGTAAATTATACGTTCTTTTTCACTTCCAAAAATGGTATACTACCGTAAAATTACATGTAATGTCCAATACAGTTTTTCACCGTATATAGTTCACCGTACATTTTTAATGGAACCTGAGAGCTGTCTGACCCTGCATAGACAGCAACACAACTGAAATGTTCCCAAATCCAGAAACGTAGCAAGGAGATCGGTAAAATAATCCATGTGACATCAGTGATTCATCTGCAATCATACGAAGCTACGAGAATACTTTCTGTGTGCAAAAGAGAAAAAAAAAACGAATTTGAAATGACATGAGGGTGAGTAATTAATGACAGATTTTTAATTTTTGGGTGAACTAAACCTTTAACCAATTAATAGGTTTTTACTGTTACAGACTTTTACCGTTAAAATCACAGTCATTTTAATCTTTGTTATTATATGCCCTTCATTTTTTGTTACTATATGTGCCTTGTACGTG